CCACCATCTCTCTCCTTGTTACATGTCCACAAGTGCATGAAGTGTATATTTCAGCCTGTGTGTGTGTGTGTATAAAGAGTGAAAAGAACAATTTCCCCTATGGGATTAATAAAGTATATCTTCTTCTAATAATATCCTGCAGCTGGGGATTTTTCTCTTTTCCGGAAGTCTCCTGTTGTGTTCACCTTCGCCTTTTTCGTTGCATTTCTACCTTCCGCCATATATCCCGTTAGCTTCAGATTCTGCACCTCGCGGTTCTTCCTCATTGTCGTCTGATTCTGTAGTTTCCATTGCTAACCTGCTATCTGTTTTGTTTCTCAATGGGATTTATTTACTAGTTGGCAGGATATCTTAAGATTCTGTCGCAGGCGACTGCGTTAAGGCTGCCGTCTTGGCCGGATTACTTTTCTAATGCAAAACATGATTATTTATAAAATCGTTTTTCTTTTTAGATAAAAAATAACAGAAACAAGGCTTTTTAATTTCTTGAGATGCATTTTTTGCAATGTAGTATCAGTGGCTGACAGGATTACTCTTATTTTATGTAGTCCTTATTCGCTGTGACCACAGACTGTGCTCACTGAAGAAAAAACCCTCAACAGCTGCAGCCCAAAACTGAGACCGGATCCTGTTGGACCAGATTTCTCCTCTAACAGAGACATAAGTCCTGGCTTCAGATTCAGTTTCAGTCAGTTAATTTTAATGATCATATATGACAGAGAATTTTATGGCTACATGACTGTGGATCCTTATTCACAGCTTCTCCTTTCACTTTCACACACGTGTGAGAGATTGTAACACTTTTGATCATTGTGCAGCGTGTTTTAGAGCAGTGACCGCTGCTGAGCCGTATCTAAGTTATTATTATTTTTCTGCCATAAGAAATGCATTTTTGGCAGCTGCATCATGCTCGAGAACTCATGAAACGCAACACAAAAAGAAGCAAAACAGCTGAACAGCATATCAGGACACTCTGAGCAGCACGATTAAGTTCACCTGGTTTGGTGGCAAGACTTTATAGGCTGGAGGCAATCAGCCGCTCAGTTTTTACTTTATTTCAGTCAACTAAAATGTTTTTTCACACCTAGTTTGTTTTTCATTTTCATTTTTTTGACTCCAGTTCTTATAGAACTGATGCTAGTAGCATCTATGCTAGCCGCCATTGATGTTTTAGAACAAAAAATCACTTCTCACAGACCCGTTAAACCACGGCTGTAGCTCAGGCCATAGCTGCCAGTAGTTCCTCAGAGGACACTGAACCACTGTGGTTGGACACAAGTTATGGATATATTGATAACAGGTGGAGCTCCATTCTTTCCTATGGAAGCTGCTCATTAGAAAATGAAGCTAAAAGAGTTTTACAAATTACTTGCGTGTCTTCCTAACTTCTGGTTTAGACCTGGAGTTGATTTAATCGCGCAGCTGTTCGAGACTTTCCAAATGTTACCGGACCAAATGGATGAAATCCTGATAGTGAACACAACTTGTAGAGGTCCTATTCTGAATGGAGGATTTTGATCAGTAGCCATTATAGACTCACCACAAGCTATAATACTGAAATGATGGTGGTTGTAAATTGATTTTTGGGAGTTGTCTGGAAGCTGTAATCATACTCAACTAATCATCCAATGCTGTGCTTGACCTTGACAGATATCTGGAAATAGCTGTGGGATGTTTCAGTGTAATGACGCTATAGTGTGTCCAGTCATGGCGGTTGCGGTTCAGCTCGTCACAGCTTCAGACTCTGATAAGAAGCCAGGCCGACGGCAGCTGCGGGGATGATCCACTCATATGTGCTCACATATCCAACCTCTGAGTGTTTCCTGCTATATGTACACACAGCTGGGAGCTTCCACTGGGCCACCTCCTCGAGGAGGACCGCTGTGGGCCTACTGGGTGCTCAGGGAGAGCTGGCAGAGAACGTCTTTATCTGAACATGTGGGAGTGATCTCAGTTCGTGTTTAGCCAGATGTTTTACTGCAGCTGTTTCGTCTAAGTATTACATTCACACAAGGTCCTACTTTAAGGCTCTGATGTATTTCATAACAATGGTTGATCTTTAACCCTCAGTCAGTGTTACTTCATGGTGGTGCTCATTGAAACGTCAAAATACATAAATAAATGAATAAATACATCAAATATAATAGTTTTACATTTAATTTATACATGTAATATACATATATTACATATATAATGTTAAAATATATATAACATAAGATGTGACAGCAGGTAAAAGATGAAAAGTAATAAATAAATACTAATAAGTATAATAATAAGTAAGTTACGGTGTATTTGTACTTTACCTCCCACCTCAGTTCGTGGTTTTTAATCCCAGAGGTGATTTTGGTTTTATGAGTAAATCTCAGGAGACGTTCAAGACCTATAAACTGTCCTCTGCGGTTTCAGCGCCGCCGCGGTTGCTAATAAGTTTCTCTCGTTAACCTCGGCTGTGTGATGGTTCTTACACTGTGGCCACTGAACAACAGGGAAACACAACAGCTGAGTTCAAATCTATTTAATTTTGTGTTCATTTAAATGTTTCACCAGTGAGAGTTAATATATTCACTGTTTAATAAGTTTCTACGGGAGCCCAGAAGGGACAAACCAAGCCCCGGCTCCAGGTCAGGGCGCTTCACGGCGCTCTTGGAATGGGAGGGCGATGCGAGGGCGTTGCCATCTGTAACTACACCGCTAGATGTAGAAATCAACTGCAACGTCTGTTCTCATTGGCCAAAATAAACATATAGACTCCACACACACACACACACACACACACACACACACACACACACACACACACACACACATTGTCCACAGCTCAAACATCTGCTTTGAAGCATATTTGATAGAGAATGTGAAAGAAGTCAAGGTCAACAAGCAGAGATAGACCTTTTGTTCAACCAGACTCATTTTAACTCTCAGATCATCGTAACGTCATTCAAAGTCGGCAGAAACAACATAAAACTCATCAAAACCGTCTTTGTTTCTGCCACTGACAGACTCAGGTTGTTATTGTCAGTGTCTGACAGCATTATGGAAAGGATCCCTACAGAGATAGACCTTTAGTTTAACCACAAACAGCCGTAATATCACTATCACTCTCCACCAGACTCCAGAGACACAAACACTCATTTTACCTTCAGATCATCAGAACTTCATTAAAGTGGACAGAAACAGAATAAAACTCATTAAAAGCGTCTCTGTTAGTGTTTCCAACAATCACCAACTCTGGTTTGGTGGAAATAAATCCTTAATTCACCGACGTAGATGATAAAAACAGCAGTTTCAGTCGGAGCAGACCGGCTGTGGAAACAAACCACAGAGAGGCTGCGATACAACACAGGCAGAGGGAGAGAGACACCATGTGACTCTGTATATAGAGAATATAATGTTAGCTGATTTATTAATACTCTAAATGTAACTTATCGTATCGCCAGTCATTTTGCTACGTTAGCTAGCTAGCAATTGATCCGTGTTAGCAACCAAGCTAACGTTATCCAGCTAAAAGCACAATCAGACAATATGTTCCACTAGCTTAGCATTAATGTTAGCTTTGACTTTGGACTCTGTGTTGTGGTGGGTGTTTATAGACGTTAGCGGACTCCATTTATAAGTTAACGTTAGCTAATGTATAAATCTGTCCACAGGAAACAGAAAGTCGGTGGAATGTCCGATTTGTTAATTTACAGCCTGTTGATCTCATTGGCAATAAAAAAGTGATTAATGCATAAAAAGACTCTTATTTATGGCACATTAAAATCTCATAAGTCCCTGCAGTGGAAACATGGAGCTGTGAGGGTTTGTATCTGGACAGTGTTACAGTCTTTTATCTACAACCTACCTCAGACCAGCTTCCTCTGTCGGGTCCAAAGGAAAAGGCGGGGGCTCCAGCAAAGGGTGCGGCTTCAATCGACTGCCTGGTCCACCTACAGTACGCCGGGCTCAGGCTGTAAGTCAGGAGATTTCTCAGCTGATATTGATAAAAGCTAAATGTAGCATTAAAACACATTAAAGTGGTTTCACACCCAACCTGTTGGTTCATTCAGGCCGACGTATCTGCTGCTGACTGACCACAGCAGGGTAGCAGAAACAGTGAGCTGGTAGTCAGTGCTAACAGAGCTAATAGTGCTAATGAGCAGCGGCTGTCAGACTCTGTGTCCACGCTGGCGATTTTGTCTCATCAGGTTCAAAAACAGCTTCTTTCCACATGCCATAAGACTGCTGAACACTGTATAACCATTCCCCCTTCTCTCCCCCTCCTCACCCATACACCTACAATTATCTTATTAATATTTATATTATATACAAAAGTTCTTTTACAAGCAACAAAATTAATAATATTATCTACGGGTTTCTCTTCTCTTCCAACTTATTAAAACTTTTATATTTTTTTTTTTTTTTGACTGTACATACTGCCTCCCTCTATTCCTGTTGTCTATGTGCCATTGTAATGAAATTTCATTTTGATGCAAATCTAAATGACAAATAAAGTCTGCAAGTCTAAGATAGGGTGGGGTTAGGGGGTTGTGCACTCAGCTGTTTGTACTAATGTGTGTGTGTCATGTGGGATCAAGGTAAAGATTGCAGTCCGGTGCTTCTAAAGTGTCTAAAGTCCTGGGGGAGGCAGGAGGAGGTTGGGGGAGGCTGGGGGAGGTTGGGGGAGTTTGAGGGAGGCTGAGGGAGGTTGGGGAGACTGGGGGAGGTTGAGGGAGGCTGAGGGAGGCTGAGGGAGGTTGGGGGAGTTTGGAGGAGGTGGACCACCCTCCTCTGATTAGAGGAAGTCTCCACTCTGTGTCAGCACTGGACTCACAGGGCAAGTTGAGACACATTATGCAGATTTTCAGAACTTTTGATGCAGCAGATTTTACAAACAAACACAAATGATTCTGAAATATTTGAATAACAGATTTTCTTCCTGTTAGGAGCCAGAGGTCATTCATAAAACCTTACAGTAACTGGGAGTCCTCCTGCAGCAGATGAGTGGGAGGAGCTGACGGCTGGGAGGCGTTTCCTGCTCCAACAAGCCTCCACCTCCCTACATGGCCGTGGGACTCGCGTGCTTTGCGTGCAGAGGGCGCGGACGCAGCAGATCTGTAAGTGACTCTTTACTCCTGTGCATGAAAATATACAGTGGTTAGAGAGAAAGCTGACTCTCCTTCACATCTGCAGGCTGATCTGAATACCTTTAATTAACTCTCACCTTTAACTTGTTTTTTTAAGTTTGGGGTCATTATGGTAAGAAGCTTACATTTGAGATCTAATTCAGATGTGTAGTCAGTTTTTAATGCAATATCTTCCATTATATTCAGTATAAAGTTCAGTAAGGTAGGTGAGGGAGTGAAAGCATGACTCTTAATACAAGCTTTGTCCTTTTAAGGTACAGAAATGTGTGCAATTGAATGCTGTTTTGCATAATCAGTTCATAAATATTCCTGCATTATTTTTTGTGTTTTGCCTGTGAAAAAGTAGAAATGAATGATTTTCTGTAACTATTATTGCGTATTATTGTGTTAAAGTCTTTGGATTTATTAATCTGAAGGAACATCATTGAGACTGTCTCATAAAGAATGATGTTTCTGACAGTATTGGAGATTTATCTGCTGTCTTTAAATGGATCAATGTTATACAAGACTTCATGTCAAACTTAAGCTGAGTCTGAACTCAGTGATGTGAGTTCATGTGAATGCCCACACGACTTACGGAGTATCAAACATGCGCATATACCTGCCAAAATGTGCAGGTGTTTGCAAAACACGCTGGTTTACACAAAGTGGAGAAAGTCCCCCAGACTTCCCCTTTAAAAATCACACAATTTTGTGAGTTGTTGAGTTATATTGAAGTTTATGGACTTTGTGAAGCACTGTCTGCAACAAATTCTCAATTATTTGGGCTTTGTTGTAAATTCAGCAAATGTTATACGTCAGAAGTTTGTTAATAACGAAACAAATTCAAGCTGTAATTGTTCCGCTGCGGATTCAACAGAAGCAAGAACAATTAAGAGTGAGTTTACGTCCCTAATGAGTTAGTAAAAAAAGCTAAAAAGTCAAGTTTTTGTCTGGCATTCTTACTTGAAAACCTCACATTACTGCACTTCTTTGTCACAAATGAATCTAGTGTTTAAAATACACTTTTTAGTTCAATCTGAGGTCATTAATGTAAGAAAATGTTAAATTTTGGATTAAATTCAGTCCTTAATGTCTTATCTTCTATTATATTCCATATGTAAAGGAGGTTTAGGGAGTAAAAGCAAGACTCTTAACAAAAGATAGAATGAAAGAAAAAATGTGTGCGTTTTACAGATCATTACACTATATCTTACATTATTGCACTTCTTTCTACCTCATAGCAGCGTTTTATTCAGTCTGTGAATGAACACACTGAAAAAACACCAGACTGCTCCTTTAAGAATAAGAGTGGATGAAACAAGAATATATTTTATGTTTCTCGTCCTCGTTCTATTGTTGCCCTGAAGACTCCTCGCAGATGTGAAAAATGTAAATGTAATGTAAAACACATGGCAGCCCCCTTTGAAGCTAAACTATCCTTTTTCCTTTTTAAGCTGTTTCAGTTTCTGTGTCTCTCGATAAATCCTGCTGAGAAATATTTCTGACAGTAAAAAGTCTGAGCAAGAAAGTACGGAAGTTCGTTAACGATGAAATAAATTGATTCTGTTTGAGAAACTTTACAGATTCAACAATTTCTGGGGGTCAGTTTACATCCAGTAACAAGTTAATGAAGTAGTTAAAAAGTTAAATTAGTTTAAAAGTGATCTAACTTACTTATACTTTAGGCTATAATGTGCTCTTAATCTTTTGAAGTTTAGAGTTAAAACAAACAAATTTTACAAATACAGTAAAAAGTAATTTACTTGACGGTAAAACCATGACCCTTAACCAATTTTGTACGTTGGGTTAAATTAAACTTTATGGACTTTGTAAAACGCTGTCTGCAACAAATGATTGATTATTTAGGCTTTATTGTAAATTCCCCAAATATACTTATCACGCTATATGTTTGTAGTTGTTTAGTAGGGGGGGGGGGAGAGGTAATATACCTTTTTTTTTTTTTTTTTTTTACTTTTTACATCCTGTAAGGAGTTAATAAAGTAGTTAAAAGCTGCTGCTTGTTTAAAAAAACCCTTTTCATCATTAATAACTGCAGGCATATTTTATGGATATTTCATATTAAACTAAAGCACAATAACCCAAACATGAACCAGAGCAAAAGTTTGTGTAAATTACAACTGATTTGGATGAATTTTGGGATTAATGCCTGTTTAGGGACCTTTTATACAATTCTTTATCTGTATTATTTTTTTTTTGTAATTTTTAACAACCATACAAACTTAATAAGCTTCTTTTATTCACAAATTCTGTGTTTTTTTCTGAGACTGAGGGGAAGATATTTTAAAACCTAAAAGATTTTGCGCTTTTGACAAAACATTCGGGGCTTGAGCCTCAGAAGCCACTTTTTTTAATTGTTTCACACAGAAAATGTCAAAAACTATGCAAAAACTTTATTATTCTGTTTTAAAATCATCTTTCTTAACAGAATTTATGCAATAAATGCAATTTTTTAGAAACATATTGACAGATAGTGAGTTTAAGAACAAAAAAGCATTGTTTCACGTGTAATAGATTCACTTTTACTGTCTAAACATTTAAATGTGCACAAAATCAGATTTTCTAACTTTTTTAACTCAGTGTTTTTGTCATCATTGAACTTCAGTACATCAGGCAGCTCTGCTTAATGTAAGAGAAACATCTACCGCTGCCTTCAGGGACCTCACTGTACACCGACACACACCCACCACCTTCATCTGTTTTTGATTCAACTTAAACACAAAGTTCATTACATGGGGCTTAAGATATGTCTGTGCTACTCTAAGGGATTTCATCTTGATCCAGTGATTCAACTTTATTTCACCATCAATTTAGGATCAATACTACCCTCCAGGGAGTCCTGGGTCCCAAGTAGACCTTGAACTCAGCATTTGATTCACTTAATAAAAAGCTGGCTCACCATCAGAGACAATAAAACACAGAAAAAAGTTCCCTAAACAGGAAATAATCTGCTCAAAATTCATCCAAATCTCTGGTTTTACACAAACTTCCTGCAGTTACTGAGTTCACTGTTTGGGTTCATTGTACAGTTTTTAAGATAATATGAAATATAAATAAAATATGTCACTGAGTCAGTTTAATAATGATAGAAAAGGTTGGAATTGCTGATCTAAAGTCCTTGCAACCTCCTTACACAAGCTGCTTGGTTCAAAAACACGTAATATTATTAAAATACGTAATTTTTAATACAAATACTTAAATTTGAGATTGCTGAAATGTTACTAAAATAGGTTTAGCATTTTCTGTAATATTTTGTTGTGCACTCAGACATCCGTGATTAGTTAGAAGCTAAAATGGGATGGTAAGCTAGTGGGCGGAGGTCAGTTGAATGGTTCAAAAACAGCAAACTGTGGCTCCAAACAGGAACTATTAGGAAGAGAAGTGTGGACCAGGAGGACCCCTTTTCCACCAAACTAGCTCTGGTTCTCTCACCAGTTTCTGCCCTACTGGGCTTATTTTCTATAGTTTTTGGCCTCCAGATCAGATTTAAGCAATTCAGAAGCTCAAAACTCAGGTTGTGAAGATCCTCCATCTTGTTTGGTCTCCTCTCCAGTGGTTTAAAAACATAACTCTATAAAATACTACAACATTTTGAATGAAAACACTTATATCAGTCTGCTATGTCCTCACATTCATTCATACATCCCTGATCAGTTAGGAGCTGAAATATGATGGTAAGATAGTGGGCGGAGGTCAGATGAATGGTTCAAAAACACTGAATCGTGGCTCCAAACAGGAACTATGAGGAAGAATGTTCTCTGATATTCCCATAATGTTAATTCACAGTCTTAAAGTGTCTGTTGTACATAGACTGTTACATGATGAATTATTTTTAACTAAAGAAAATACAAAACACAAACTTAATTTTTTAAGTTCAAAAAGATTCTTAAGCAGCTTTTATTAGTACTTTTAAGTGACGCTAACTCAGTTTTGTATCTTACAAAAACATTAAGTATTTTGTTTTCACAGTAAATAATAAATTTAATTAAGTCACATAAAATGACAAAATCTACTTCAAGAATGTTCTGGTTTTTTTTCCACAAAGACAGATAAACATTCACTCGTGGGAAGTACAGATGTGAAGGTTCGGGGCAGTACAGATGTGAGGTCCGGGGCAGTACAGATGTGAAGGTTCGGGGCAGTACAGATGTGAGGTTCGGGGCAGTACAGATGTGAAGGTTCGGGGCAGTACAGATGTGAAGGTTCGGGGCAGTACAGATGTGAAGGTTCGGGGCAGTACAGATGTGAGGTTCGGGGCATACATACCATACATACAGAAGAGATCAATCTCTGTGATAATGTGAACACGGCTTAACTGTGACGAGGTTGTTTCACGATGTCAATCCTTCTTCTTCGAGAGGTGCTTACGTTAGTTTCCCGCTCTGTGTACCATAGATCAGCAGTGTGCGATACAGACACAGACAGAAAAGCCTTTTTTGGTCAGAGTTTATGTTTCTGTCATTAGCGTGGAGAGTCGGTGGCGGCAGGAACCAATCAGATGATCAGATTAGGAGTGTTTTCAGGATGGAGGTCACTCCCCTCAGACACTCACTCTGGAGATTCATGAACTACTTTAGAGACCTGATTCTGCCTCCGCCTCCCTCAGCGGACCTTATTTCCGCTGTACAGAAAGACTTTTAACAACCAGCAGGAAGCAGACAGCTGTTTGCTTCCTCTTACTGAAGGGCCAGACGGGGGCCGGTGGTCATCTGATGCCAACTGCAGATAGTTTTGGTTTTATTATTTAGCTCCTGGCACCCAGGGCTGAGTCAACTAATGTGAGCTAACTAGCTAACAAGAGGTAGCAGCTACCTTTAGCAACAAGTCCATCAGGAAACTCCGTAAATCACCTCGGTACCGCTGTCGTTAAACTATCCTCTGTCGGTCTCGGAGGTCCGGTTGGGTTGCGTGCTAACAGTAGCTATAGCAGCAGCACCAAAATTACTGATAGTTGTTTTGTACAGTGATAAAGTTGTTTTGTACAGTGATACAGTTGTTTTGTACAGTGATACAGTTGTTTTGTACAGTGATACAGTTGTTTTGTACAGTGATACAGTTGTTTTGTACAGTGATACAGTTGTTTTGTACAGTGATAAAGTTGTTTTGTACAGTGATAAAGTTGTTTTGTAAGTGGTACAGTTGTTTGTACAGTGATAAGTTGTTTTGACAGTGATACAGTTGTTTTGTACAGTGATACAGTTGTTTTGTACAGTGATAAAGTTGTTTTTGGCTGTTAAATATACGTCTTTGGCTCCCAACTTAACACACAGATGAGACAGATGAGACAGATCATGCCGGTTGGTTTTGTGTTGTCAGCCTGAATATTTCCAATCAAATGTTTTATTAATTAAAATGACCAAAACGCCAGGTGCTTGTAATCCACCTTTGGGGCTTTCTTCTACCACTATTGATGCAATGAAACCCACAGAGTGAGTTCACGTTACACCTCATGGAGTTTGATTAGACTACAAATGTGACATAATCTGGAAGTGAAGCTCATTTTCCTGTATTTATATATATCGCCTCGGAGCAGCTGAGCAGGTGTGATGGTGGTTCTCATGCTGACTGTAATCTGCACAAACTAAATGTTGAGTCTGTTAAATGTACTAATGTAAACTGTGTCGCTGGCGAGAGTCACAGCCGGCTGATCAGTGACGTATTGTTTCCTGTTTATCAGCTCTCTGGGTGGTAATTTGGTTCTGTATACACGTTTGCTACTGATGATTACTACAAAAACTACTAGAAAATATAAAGTGCGATGGAAAATCACTGATAGTCTACAAATCTTCCCAGACAGCGAGTGTAAAAAGGAGCCCCAGTGACATAATGTTAGCGAAGAAAGTCAGGCTAACGTTTGTGCTACACTAAATGACTAGATAATGTTGCTAACTGCTATCTAAGACACTGGTTATCAAAATGCTTAAAAACACTAAAACCAATGTGAAAACGAAATTAGGCTATTTACCGGGGGTAATTTATAGTGTATTTCTTTTACAGTTTAGATAACGTTAGCTCACTGTGGCTCTTTTTTACACTCCTACTTCATAATATTTGTAGATTATCAGTGTTTTTCCATCAATCTTTGTCACATAAACAGGAAATAATCTAATAATCTAATACACAGTGGTGATGAAAATGGTAAATACTATAAAGTACTCCCAGTTAGATTGTGCCATATTTAGCAACGTTAGCTAGTATCTCAGCGTAACACAAAGGTTAGTAGTACTAAAAGGTGAACTGTAGAGGGAAGAGTGGTAACAACTGTAGTTTTAATTACAGTAACAGTGGTAGTTAATTAACGGTTAATATCCTCTTTCTCTCCTTCAGGATCAGCAGACTCTCCGGGCCTCCTGCTGAAGTGTCTTTGAGCCAGACGCTGAACCTGTGCCAGGTACATGATCCCCTCCACCCATCACATGATCCCCTCCACCCATCACATGATCCCCTCCACCCATCACATGATCCCCTCCACCCATCACATGATCCCCTCCACCCATCACACCATCCCCTCCACCCATCACATGATCCCCTCCACCCATCACATGATCCCCTCCACCCACACATGACCCCTCCACCCATCACACCATCCCCTCCACCCATCACATGATCCCCTCCACCCATCAAGATCCCCTCCACCCATCACACCATCCCCTCCACCCATCACATGATCCCCTCCACCCATCACACCATCCCCTCCACCCATCACACCATCCCCTCCACCCATCACATGATCCCCTCCACCTATCACATGATCCCCTCCACCCATCACACCATCCCCTCCACCCATCACACGATCCCCTCCACCCATCACACCATCCCCTCCACCCATCACATGATCCCCTCCACCCATCACACCATCCCCTCCACCCATCACATGATCCCCTCCACCCATCACACCATCCCCTCCACCCATCACACCATCCCCTCCACCCATCACAGATCCCCTCCACCCATCACACCATCCCCTCCACCTATCACAGATCCCTCCACCTATCACACGATCCTCCACCCATCACACCATCCCCTCCACCCATCACATGATCCCCTCCACCCATCACACCATCCCCTCCACCCATCACATGATGAGTAACAGCAGTTTGGTCGTGTGACATGTGTTTGGTTTCTCTTTCAGTCTCTCCAGCTTTCACTGTGAAACTAAACACTTTCAGCACTTGAACTCAGCCATAAAACCTCCCGTGTTTAATTCAAACGTCACTTTAGACACTTGGCTGTTGCTTTTCTTCTTCTTTTGTGCTTTGATCTGGCCGGGGGGGTTAGTTAATATGTAACTGAAGCTGATGTTGGTGGTTAGCGAGCCACTATCAGGACTTATTTTCTTATTTCTGATTATACTTATTTTCATGAAAACTGGATTTGTGGTTCTGTAAGGTTCTGTTGGGTCACGCTGTGTCCTCAAGTAATAACAAAATTAGTTCCAGGATGTTCCTGCTTTCTTGATCCATAATGAGGAATTTCCTGCAGATACCCGTCAGCCTGACTTTAGAGTCTCAGTCCTTTTTCTCTCTTTTAGGGAAAAGTGTCTAAGTTTTGACCTTAAGTTTTCCCTTTAAACGTTAGCTTAGCATTCCTTATTTTCATGGGAGATTTGACGAAAGAGGCAAACAATCCGAAAATCTTCAGACCAACAACAAAGTCAGAATGCCGTCTGATCATAAACAAATTAAATCTTTTAACCCTGTAAATGCAGTTTATAGCAGGTTCTTAGAGTTTAAACTGACTAAGCTAAAACTAAACTAAACAAACCAAACGCAACTTTTCCAACTTTCAGACAGACAAACTCTCCGTATCCACCTTCAGGCCTTCGATACGAGTGTTATCTTTTATTTTATCAGATATATTTCTTTTTTTAATCATCTTGGAGGATCAAAACAGTAATTATTTTAAAAATCAAACTACATAAAATGTTTAGATCTTTAAATAAATGGACCCTGATTAGCTGTACAGAAACACGACTTTATCGCTTGTACAAAATAACTATATAAAATAACCCGACTCCACCCAGCAGACTCTGACCTGCTCAGAGGGTCGTCACAGATACATTTTACAGTTTTTGACACCAAACTGGGGTTCGGGGTGGCAACGACTGCCCCCGGCCGCCACTATGGCCCTTTTCAGACTCTGTGCTTAAAGAGGATGAGGGTAGAAAGCAGGGAAGGGTTTGAGAAAGCCGGCATAGATTAAAGAGGGACGAGAGTCCGATCCTCAAGGTTGGAGATATAGAAATATACGTCACACTCGTGAGACCTTGAGTCCTAGTTCTAGTTGCTATGATTGTGCATCTCTTTCAACTTTAAATCATCTTTGGAAGCAAAAACTCCAACTGCGATCCTCAAAAAAAGAGTCTTTATGGAGCAGTTCAGTTTCATTAACAGCTAGACATGTTCAAACCAGCTGGTTCTTCTGGTACCGGGGACCTGACGGGCCCCATGAAGTCATTTCTGTCCGCTGTTACTGTATCTGAGAGGTTTCGAGGTCCGGCCCTTCGCAGCCTCAACAAGCAGACTGTAATTCATTCTGCTTGTTTTCTGTGGCGACGGACATTATCAGATTTTACTGAAACCCCCAGAGCTGCTCGCCGTTAACCCTTGGAAACCACAAGTATTTTCAGTCAGCAGAGATTTGGCTTCTTCTGCGAGGCTGAATGAGAAGATAGGGTTGCAGCGAGAACACGCTAACGAGAGGACAGGAGGTCCGCTGGGGCATTTCACTAATTCAGTCTGATTAGAGAGAAATTTGAGTAGATATTTGTTCTTTTATATAGTTTCATGCCTTTAAAGGCCGTCACTCCGTCTTCTCTTTTCAAGCTCCATAAATATTTCTGCCTTAAGTGCAATAAAACTGAATTAATGTGGTAAGCCTCAACCTTTTTAACAGGCCAGACACTTGAACTGGATGGAGGCTGGATCTCTGTTGATGGTCTGGCAGCCATGTTGGCAGTCCTCGTTGAACAGCTGGTTGTGTCTCTAAACTTAATCACTTCACTGTTTGTTTTGTGGTTGTAATGTGAGTCCGTCTGTGTCGGCGTGTTGGCTAACGAACTTGTCTGCTCAGTTAGCCATCACCGCCTAATTAGCACACTAGGTCATGTACCTAGTGGAAGGTAGCGTTAGCATTTGATTTTAAAGAGTTAAAAGAACAAAAAAGACAGTTTGTCTGCAACTTTATTATCACTGTACAAACAAAACTGGATCAGATTTTATGGAGAGAATATTATCTGGTTTTCTCTCTGACGTCCTCCAGCTAACTGCTAATGTAGCTGCTGTTAGCGTCCCAGTGAACACAACCTCAGAGACAGACAGAGGACAGTTTGACGACAGCGGTACCGAGGTGATTTATGGGAGTTTCCAGATGGACTCGTTGCTAAAAGAAGCTAACTGTCGCTAACAGTAATGTTATCTGTGGTTAGCTTGTCAAAGGCATTGATACAAATCAAGAGTCAATAGTCTAACGATGGCAGAGTTGTCAGAGCTAAACACACCTCAGTTAATTATAACAAATTAAATCAGTTTTTATTTTCTCCTTAAACTCTTGAACTCACGTTTCAAATTCCTGTCCGGTTCTGAGCGAGTAGTCGTGGCTGTTTTCTATCAGCGCTGCTCCAAACATACACTTTCTATATACGCTGAAATAGCAAGTTCCTCCGTTTAGATTAGCCAGAGCACAAACATCTGCCTGTCAAACAGTGTAATCACCACCAGTAAATCACAGGGGAGGGGGGGGGATATCCACAGCGCTGGTGTTTGGTAATGTAAAGCACCGGGGGGGGCCCTCAGCGAAGTTGGAGCCTGGGTGTCCTTGGTGTTTGACAGGGACATTACAGCATGCAGTTGAGGGTTGTGGGGGTTCAAAAACTGTGTATTTTTTCTTCTTCTAGACATTAATACAGAACCGACACATGTTAGTGTTTTCAGCGCCGTATAGATTTACATCGGACTGATTGTGGGCGAGTTTCTGAGCTCTGACTGACCTCTGTGTGGCTGCTGTCAGATCTGTGATTTCTCTGTTTGAGAGTTCACCTTGTCTGTTGTATCAAAGAGTGATCTCACCCACAAGCTTCTTCCACTCATCTGATTATTGGTGCGATACAACATAAACAAAACGGCTCTGGTCGGCACCATCTTCCCGACTCCGCCGGCGAATCCGCAGATAGGCAACGAGGTCGAGTGTGACACCAGTCAGTTCAACTCATTATTGTATTTTATTAAGGTACTCTGGTTAATTGTGTCTTTACTATCTGGGGATTCAGCCCCAGCAGGCAGCAACCCCCCCCCCTGTCCCGGCACTAATGCCCCCACTGGTCCTCTTTGTCCCCCTTTAGAAGTTCTAGTCCAACATTTGGTTCCTAATTTCAGTCTCTACCATCAAACCTAACACAGCTCATCAGCTACAGTTGACCTATTCAGGGGAAAGAGGAAGTATTTATGGGATAAAAAGTAGAAATGTTCCAGATGGTGGAGTCTCTCAAAATAAAATGACAAAAATGTATTATATATCATATATTATATATATACTGTTATATTGTATAATATGTTAAGTGAGTTTGTTAATGATAACGATAAAGGGAAAACTTCGCCAATGTCTGATACTAATATTGAAAACTCCTCCTAGTTGTAACTAGTTATATTTTGGTGGTAACACGAATATTATTAATTCTGTTTAATTTTATTTGTATAATTCATAATTCAACTCAATTCAATTTTATTTGTATAGCGCCAATTCATAACAGAAGTTATCTCAGGACACTTTTCAAATAGAGCAGGTCTAGACCGAACTCTTTATAACATTAATTACAGAGACCCAACAGTACCACCATGAGCAAGCACTTGGCGAGAAGGGCAAGGAAAAACTGCCTGTTAAAAGGCAGAAACCTAGGACAGATCCTCCGGCTCTAGGTGGGTGGTCGTCTGTCTCGACCAGTTGGGGTGAGAGAGAGAGAGAGACAGAGAGACAGACAGACAGACAGACAGACAGACAGACAGACAGACAGGTGCACAGCAACAACAGTATTGGCAATGGCAATCTAGCAGGACCATGGCAGGAGGCTCCACCAGGATCGATAAGAACCTGCGAGACAAGAAAGCACAAGAACTCCAGGGAAGAAGTGAAGTTAGTAACATGCATTAATGGGACATGAATGAGTGCAGAAAGAGAGAGGAAGAGTAGCCCAGCATTCAGAGAACGTAGTGTTCTAGTGGGGTAATAGGGTACTATGAGCTCTTCGAGATATGAAGGGGCCTGACCATGAAGAGCTTTATAGGTGAGGAGGAGAATTTTAAAGCTAATACAGGAGAAATATGAGTGACTGGAGATGTTATGAGTTTATATGTGACTGTCTGTGAGTAATGCTGCTGGAATATGTTGAACGTCGGC